TATCATACATTCTACAATTTTCTTGGTTCAGTCTTGGCCCTCCTTGACTCGAGTATGGATCCTCTACTTTCAGTAGTTCAGGCCCATACTACCTTCCACATTTATTCGTACTTTCCTCAATGGTTGCCTTGACCTCACCAAGTCCCTTCTACTATTACTACTCGCTGCACCAATCTCATCCTAGGATTTCCCTAGGGTAACTCTCCAACCCACTCTCCGCCATCGGCTGCATAAGAAGTCCCTGTCATATCTCCCCAACTAGCATGCGAATACTATTACATATTACTAAGACCAGGTGGGAAATTACTTGTTGCACATTGAGGTCATTTTGTGGAAAATTACTAATTAGACCCTTGTAGCGCTCCAATGCTTCGTATAACGAGTCACCCATTTGTTGTTCAAAATTTGCAATGGCTTTTTTAAGTTTAGAAACTTTAGATGGTGGGAAAAATTGTTCTAAAAATTCTTCACACATTTTTGCCCATGTAGTAATCGTGCCCGGTGGTAGTGCTTTTTTAACCAATCATTTGCAGCTCCTTTAAAGGTGACAGGGAGCATCCTTAATAATGCTATTTCTCTTGGTACATTTGGAATGTTAAAGTATTCGTCGATGTTGTTAACTTCATCGAGATGCTTATTTGCGTCTTCATGATCCTTTCCGGTAAAAGGAATCTCCTTTAATGTAGAGATGATGTGCCCCTTAAGCTCAAATGTGGCAGTGGCGGGTATGGCGGGTTGCACAAGCCCCGGACTGGTGTTGTCTCAAATCCTCTTTTTGTATGCCTCCATCTAGAGGTCGACAATGTCTGTCATGGTGTTTTCGGGTTCGCCTTCTTGCTCGCTTTCTTCTTCGTATTCGGACTCGTATTCGGTTACTTTTGGGATCGGATCAAAAATTTCAAACTTGCTTTCCTCGCTCTTTTGACTGCTAGACTCACCCTCTTTCTTGCTTTTCTTCTTCCCAAAGACTGATTTAAGGTCCTTGAAAGGTGATTTCCTTGGGAGGTTTGTGTCTTCAACGTCTTTATCCTTGTTTTTTTTTCTAAGAGCGGATTCCTGGTCTTCGAATGGAGGTACCAAAGGTGAGTTTGAACCTTGGGTCATAAAATACCTGAAAAAACAAGAAACACATAACGAAAATAAAATAAAAAACGAAACTGGAAATTTACGTTGGACTCGCCGAGTACCTGCGAATGGACTCGATGAGTTCAAAGGTAAAACAGAAAAAAAAACATATCAAAAAGCCTAAAAATAGAGAAACTTAAAACTTAAACCTAATAACTAATTTACTAAAGTAGTAACTTTGTGCAAGATAGATCTCGCATAAAGGATCCATAACACTAGCAATTAAAATTAATTTTAGAATTGTTCCCCGACAACGGCGCCAAAGACTTGATGTGTGTAAATTGCACTAGTTTTAGTCCTACTTTTTAAATATAATTTAGACACACAAAAGGCAGTGTACCTATCAATTTGTGGTATAGTTAAACAAGCAGAGTATCGAACACAGGGAACGGTAATTAAGCTAATGACTAGAATTATCTAAAACAAGTAATAAAAGGAAAATGTTTTCTCTAGTTTTGAAAGACTAGAAACTTAAACAATTAACTAACACTCAAACTAAGCAACTAACAAATAAAACAAATAAACAATAAACTAAATTCAATAATAGAGAAGACTTTTGTTTAGGTTCAACTTATTTATTCCAATGGTTGATTTTATGGCATGTGCAATGGATTAATTTATCATTGGATATCGATTAATGTGATTAGGTTCATGTTCACTATTACTAATCTTTAGAAAACAAATTAATTCAAGCAGTGATCAGTTGATTAAACTAATAAAATTCCTAGTTTATTGATTCGAGTTAAGTAAGACTTGTGATTAGGTAATTAAATTACTAATTCAATTAACTTCTTGTATGATGGTTCGTCACACAAGTTCACACATTAACTTACCTATTTTCTAGTTAACCCTAGTTTCACGTTCTCTATTCCTAGGCCCATAACTATGTTTTCACATAAATCATATGAGATAAGCAATTAAGAGATGTTCATGCAACTTAATATAATCGTTAGTTAACAACAAATAGTTGTTGTTAACACATTAGGTTCTTCAACAAGCTTAACAAAACAAAGTTCACCGATTTAAATTAATCCAACCATAAAATCAAACCATAGTCATAAATTCGTCTACCCTAAACATAAGATACGAGTTTTAGCTCATAAGTACTGTAGAAATAGCTCAAAAACAAAATCTAATGATTCACACATAGTTCAAACAACAGATTAAGTAAAGAGTAAACTTAAGTTGCCTTTGATCTTCTCAAAATTGAAGGTTAGGGTTGTTCCATGAGTTCCAGAGCCCCAGCTGCACTTCCAATCGCAATTCAATCCCCAAGGGTTCCAGCCAAGCCTTTAGTTTCGGGCTCTTGTGTCCTATTTATAGATTTATGAAAACAGAGGCTACTCGTCGAGTCCAGTAACCGACTCGTCGAGTCCCTCATTAAAAATCTGTGTACGGCAAGGACTTTTATTGCTCCGCGAATGTTCATGTCTACTCATCGAGCAGGCATCAAACTCGCCGAGTAGATATGGTTTTTGACTCTTTTTCTTCTTCCTTTAATTCCCGAGCTTCTGATTGCATTTCCCGCTTCCTTTTTCTTTCGAGCATGTCTTTTAGGCTGAAAATACAATTTAAACATAATTAAGTACCTTTTGTCCATAAATTGCAATAAATTAGCCAAAAAGTATTAAAATTCTATAAGAAATGTATAGCTAAATATGCACATATCACTACCACTATCACATAACATCATATCATACTAGCACATAAAACATAATAGATAGTGACAAACTAGACAATTATCATAAAGATAATCATCTCAACTATAATAAACTACTAGTGGGTCGGCATTGGTGCCTTCAACCCACTTCTACTGGAAGGCAACTCACCTCGATGTCGTAAAGTGTCTGAACTCTCCTGGCTGCCGGAATCAACCCCTCTCAGGTCCTACGCATAACAATCTTCCTTAATTACCATTTCCTGGTCAACTCGGGTCAAATTCAAATTCAAGGTTAAAACCTGGTCAAATTCAACTCTAGGTCGAAGTTAACATCGAGTTGACTCAACTCGCCGAGTTGGCCCCACAACTCGTCGAGCTCCGAAATCGTGAAAACGCTAAGACTTCGACCCTACTCGCCGAGTTCTCCTTTAAACAAAGTTGGGACCTTCTACGATCTGACTCGCCAATTTCATCCTTGAACTTGCCGAGTTCATCTTCATATGGTAGGGATATTGCCTTGAACTCACCGAGTTCATCCTGGAACTCATTGAGTACATTGATCTTTAGGATCATTACGAACCCAGATGGTCGAGTCTTGTTCCGACTCAACACACCACTCGATATTAGAAGGGTTTGGGGAAAAATACGACCCGACTCGCTGAATCCCATAAGCGACTCACCGAGTCCCTCTATTTCCAAAACTATTTAGTCAATTTTAGATGGTCTAAAAGCACCCAAAACACAGATCTGACCTGCTAGGGTCCATATTACACGTAAAGCTACGATCTTGACATTCATGCATGGGTTTTGGCTGAAAAGGCTCTAAAATGAGTTTTATATGATGCATGGGACTCCCATGGCCATAAAGTTGGCACCTTTATGCCTTGGGAACCCCAATGGTTCCATATATGATGTTCATACTCTACATTATGCTTTAAACCTGAAGGTGTCTTAGAAATGCCCTAAAAATGGCAAGATTCAAGCCTTAAAGAAGATCTAACAAATGAGAAGTCAAGGTTGAATATTTTTACCTGAATCAAGCTGGAAATGCAACCAAGACTCTGGATCTACTTGCTTCTTCAAGAACCACCAAGCTTCCACTTCTTTCTTCAAGCTTCAAACAACTTTAAACACACCAAAATGGATCAATAACACTCAAAAAGCTTTAAGGTTTCGAGTTATAGCTTTTCTGGACTATGAGAGATGATGGAGGTTGAAATGGGACAAGATAATGTGTTTAAATAGTGTCCAAACCCTAAATATTAGGGTTTCATCCAGGCAGTCCTACTCGCCGAGTTAGGCTCTCCGACTCATCGAGTACGTTACTTAAAACCTGTGTCCAAGTGTCTAGTCTACTCGACGAGTTGGGCCCCCCAACTCACCGAGTCGCAGTGTAAACATGTAGTTACTTGAATTTAAATATGTACCAGGAACCTGGTGTTACACAATACAAGCGCAATACTAAACACAATACTACTTAAAAATACGGGAGATTTTTCAAAATATTCCAAGGGGCTTCATAGTCGAAACTCTCTCATTTGCTAATGGATTGTATTCTTCTTTAGTTACCTCCAAGATGTCTTCCTCAGTACTATTCACACGTGCGTCTTCAATCTTCTTATAAAGATCGTTGAACAACACAACTTCTGTATTCAATTCATACCATTTTGATGATATATCAAGCGTGCTGTGATGGTTTTCTAAGGTGGTTTCAACATTAGTGTTGAAGGTATTGGTTAAAAGGAGCCAAAACATTCTATCATCCAAACTGCTATTCTCGTAGACATTAATATATGCAAGAGTTAGAAGCAAACACTCCTCAACGGTCCATGGTTTTAAACCCATTGTAAAAGATACAATGTAGATGAAGTGATATAGATTAGATTAAATGATACATATTTTTGAGTCATTTTATAGTGAAATGACAGTCCACGGAAGTGACTTGGTAGTCCATGAAACAAATATAATAACAAAAATAAATAAAACACATATTTGTATTAAATAAAATTACTAAAAACAGGCATTTCATATTAATATATACAAAGTTCCTAAAATCAAGTTATATAGTATCCCAAATAATATTTGTTATCCTATTTCTATAAAAAAATCTTGCATCTCTACGTGGCTTATAAATCTTCACCGGTACCCTCGAAACAATCATTTCCATAAACATGCATACGAGTACTCCACAATCCCCTCTATCTTGAATATATTCCTATTGTGGCGCGTCTATAGTATCAACAAACTCCACAATTGCGTTGTCTTTGTGTCCATCAGGGAAATCGTTCCAGTACTCAATGACTTCTAGCTCTGAGATAATACTATCCCCAAAACTATTGAATTCTCCACCAATCAAGTACTTTGAGAAGAAATTCATAGATAGTGCTAAATCATAAATGTGTACTTTCCAGATATTTAAATGTAGCACTACCAAAAACCAATGGACACCAATAACGTTTATGGGGAATAGAACCTGCAAACAAAAAAACTTATATAGTCATAAATTCAGTAATATTATATATATATATATATATATATATATATATATATATATATATATATATATATATATATATATCCTACATACTTATAAAGCTATCATTTTTTGTTGAATCTTATGCATTTGAAACCCTCTTTTTTAACTTTCTCAAACCACATTCATTTGAAACCCCCATTTTTTAACTAATGCAACTCAAAAAATTTCTTAATTATGATTTAACACTCAAAAGTTTTATAACTTATATTATGTTTAATTACCATTTAATGAAAAGTTTACTATAAAAAGGCCAATCTTTTGTGTCTTTTGTGTTATACAAAATCTTACATGTAAGAATGATTTGAAGATATTGTGATTCAAAAGTTATCATATAGTTAAAACATTCACAATCCAAATATGATGATTTGAAGAAATGGGTTATGTTGCATCGATGGTAATTGGAATATGATTTGTTCTTTCAACCAAAACAAATGAAGTTTTTCTATTCTTTCGTTATATTCAGTTTCTCATTTAATATTTATATGTGATTTGTGTGTATTACTCAATCTTGAATGTGACTCTCCAAACATCAATGTTTTGCTTGGAATATATTTCTGATTCTTCTTTTTCAAGAAAAATATTTTGATTGCAGGTTAGTGAAGGATTATCATCAAGTTTCTATGGTTGAATGATGTTAAATGAAGAAAGAAGATTCATAAAATGGATATATGTTTTTTTGTGTGAGCAAAGTTGACGAATGTTGGTTTTTTCTTTTGATTTAAATGTATGTTTATGTAATGTCTTTATTTATATATTCAACCACCTAATGCTCTTATTTATTTTATTGTAGTTTTTCTATTTTGATTTTGTTTATTTTCTATTATTTTTTGTTGGGTTATCCTACGCAACATATTTGAAAGACAATTTTTAAAAGATAACATAATTTTGAACATTTGATATGTAATTATGATAAACTTATCATGATATGTTCTTCATATGAAAATAATTTATTCATATTACTACGACAAGAATTACATATGACATTTACGAATATATATATATATATATATATATATATATATATATATATATATATAAAATTATAATATATTATGTGATTTGTTTAATATGTATATGCACCTATGTATGTTATAAAATTATAATTAAATATCTTTATGTTTAATAATTGAAGGGATTAAAATGATGTATCAAAACCAATTATTTAGACGAATATAATAATAATAATAATAATAATAATAATAATAATAATAACAACAATAATACATTTCCAAGTACCGCATTCATTTGAACCTCACACTACAACTCAAAAGTTTTCTAATTTATGTAAATTTATTAGTTACAACTCAAGAGTTTTTAACTTATGATTGATAACTAGTAATCACTAATAACTTTTTATTTTCCTTTCTTTTATAAGGTTGTAAAATTTTGCTCATTAAAAACATTAATGTATTTGAAGAAATTTGTGATTTAAATATGGAGAGTTAATATAAATGTTATAATAGATGTTTTAGTGTTTTTATGTTATTAAAAGTTATAGTGTTTATTTTTCATATTTTTTTATTATTCGATGTATATATATATATATATATATATATATATATATATATATATATATATATATATATTTTAATACAAATGTTATAATAGATATTTTTCTACTTTTATGTTACTAAAAGTTGCAGTTCATATTTTTGTTCATACGTTTTGTTACCCGTTATATTATCATTCATTTGATATATAATTTACACAATTTTAAACAGTTTATAAAATTATAAAATAATTGTATATATCATAAAGACTTAAAAATTAAACTATAATGTTTAATAAAACTAATATGTTAATTATATGTTTGCTTTACTACTAACATTTTGTTTCAAAGTAGAAATATTAAATAATAATTTGGTAACAGTTATTATTTTAACTATATAATTTTATTATCGCGCAACGCGTGGGGATTCGCCGTGTGTGTGTGTATATATATATATATATATATATATATATATATATATATATATATATATATATATATATATATATATAACTTAACTAACCATATCTACATCCTTCTATTTAGGATAGCCTCCAACACTATTTACTACATTCCTAAAAAATGATTTTCTGAGTTGCAAATTGAGTTCTTGAGGGTATATCGTCCACCTTGCGTTCGCCAGCCATCTTTCCATGTGCAAGTCACTCCATATCGCAATATGCTGTACATTTTAAGATAAAAATGTTACAATTATTTATACAAGTTATCGTCTAAAGTAGTTAAAATTTAACGAATGTTACAGAAGAAATTAACCACTCAGAGTCAGTAATTGTGAGTAACCTCAACCAAAACTCCACACCTAGTGGGAGTATATGCAGCCTATATATAATGTTGAGGTTGGAAGAGATCATATTCCATTGTTTCCAAAAACCCAACGTACTAGAAACATGAAGACTGTCCAATAGGAGATGATTTGAAACATCATTACTCTTTTCATTCACAATGTCTTCATTTGCTTTTTCAGGACTCTCCACTGCTTTTTCCCTTGTTTTGGTGATTTTCTTCAATTTTGGTGTGGATTGCATCTAAAAAATTAACATGTTAAGTAATTATCAATAACGTAATATTTTATAAATACACCAAATTTAAAATATGAGTTTTGTACCACTGTGAACGACGTCCGTTGATACCATGCAACACTCCTCTTTCGTTGCGGCCTAACAATAGGAGTCACTGCTTTTTTGTGATGTCCACCCACATTCGGTGACGGCTCAACATGCGTAGGTGTACGCCCAACTTCCCCCTCTAAACCATGAGTAGATATATCACCATAGTCTAATTGTGTACCATGGTACTAAGTTTCTTCCCCCTCTTCATTTACCATGTCATCCTCCTCTCCAAACGTTGTATCTGGTTCATCTTATTTCTGTAATACACGGTCTACTTAAGTCAGACACAACGCCTAGTAGATGATTCACTAATGCCTTTGTGCTCGTCTTCTTCTTCTTTATCGACTTTGTTGATGTGTCGCTTGGCATATAAGTTCTTTCTACTTCAGGTTGTTGCGAGGAAGAAGCATTTGTCGTAGATTCAGTCGAAGATGTTTCTGAATTGTACTTCTTTCTTTGAGGAGACGACAATCGGTGGACTATGTTGCCGTGGGGGAGACTCTTCATGGGTAAGAGTCCAATTGACGTAGCGAATATAAAACGACAACATGAGCTCCGTCGGTTTGCCATGACAGAAATAGGTTGGTTGTTAGGATGAAAAAAACCAGATTGTTAGTTTAACATGAAAAAGCATTGGAATTTGTAATTATATATAATCCTTAATATAAAAAACATACAACGGACACGTTGATTATTCGATGACATTGAACCCAAGATAACAGTGTTTTACTTTTACTTTTACTTCACCATGACCTCATCCGTGGCAATTCTGTCCGCGTGCATATATAATATTGGGTTGCCTCTGGGAATGTCTCCAAAATCCATATCTATGTAAAAAAGGTAAGTATCATGCTATTATAGTATAAAAATGAAAGTACAACGAAATTATATAGTACAAACCGAAGTACAATGTTATTATTGTAAAAAAAAAAACAAAAGTATGATAACTATTTAAATGCATTAGAAACTAACATTAAACGGAAGCCTAAAACCGGAAACAGTATACTTGTGTACTTTCTTGGATTCGGGATTGGCCTGCTTAAATATTCTAAAATTTTCTATTTTCTCAAACATTCCACGCATCAACCCTGAAGTATAGGTCCAAAAATACGTACCCCATGCAAAGCTGCAGGTTTCAATTTATTTATTATAACTATTATTGTATTCATACACAATCTTTAAATGTAATACATGTTCAAATCATCTATATTATCAACAAGCTTGTATACTGCCGTGAGAATGCTCGTTTTAACGTCCCGTTCATGGAGACCTTTCAACATAAAAACAAGTTGGATAAGCATTACAACGTCTTCATCTTGAAGTGACAAATAATTCGAAGACATAATGTAGTCTTCTAAATCTTTCAGCCGCAAACGTGCATCAGTAATGTCTGGGAACAACCGAGAACGAAGATTTGAATTTGACCGGCCCCTTCGTCATAGAGCAAATCCATATAAGGACCAACTCTTAAACCACAAATAAAAATATATTCAGTTTCACCAAAATCCAACTGCATCCCCTATATCTAAAAAAGAAACCTCCTCATTTCAAACACTTGTTGAGACCTTACTTCATGCAACATCATCAAATGCGCAAGTAAGTGGTCACCATGGGGGACATGCATTCCTAAGAATCTTCCAAACGGTGAAGCTTCAAATAATACCCGTTGTGATTATTTTAGGCGTGGAAAATAGTCTTTAATGATCGTACCCACCACGCATTTTAAAGTTAAATCTGCTTTTTGATTGAGGTCATCGTGCAACAAAACATATACATTTAATTTCATATAAAAGATTAGTAATTAAAAATAAAAAGCAAGGTTTCAAAATTTCTTTTCTAATTCGGTTTATGAAATAAATAGCAATGTAATTTTTATATAATAAATAGTTGATATAAAAGGGTAGAAAAAATGGGGAAAAAGCAATTTCAGATCATTCCGCGGAGGCTAGAGGTCATTATGCGGAGACCCCTCTGCGGAGTGACCTACACCTCCGCGGAGACATATTTTTCGCTTTTTGGTTCATTCCATGGAGGCAATAAGTCAATTCGTAGATGTCCTTCTACGGAGTGACCCACCCCTCCGCAGAATGGATCTTCCCAAATCTGGTTGTCTGTTAATCCTAAAATCTACCAAATCTAATTCTGTACATATTGATGATTATTAATTGGATTTTCGTAACATCTGAACCTTAAATATATACAATACGACATTAATCCAAAGAATTTCATTAAACATTGGACAAGTCATCGGAAAAGGGGTATACTCATATACAATTAAGGTTCAAGTGCAGAGACAAATGAACTGGCTCATAAATTGAGTTGCTAGGATGGATGGTGGTTAAAACTTAAATAACGCTGATGTGGGAGCATTATCAAATCGTCGTGAGTGGTTGCTTTGATCATCATCTCTAAGCTACTGTTGACAATTTACTATGCAATGTAATATTATTGTATGAATCTTGCTATATTTTTTTTTACGAAAATTTTAATTTAATCTTTTTCATTTCCTTTAAAATAGTTGTGTCTTATGTTTCAGTGTTATTTGTAACCATATTTTGAGTATGGAATGAGTATCTTTATATCAGTTTCATGGTTCGATAAATCTACCATTTTTGGAATCTAAGCACAATGGTATGCTTTTTCAGCTTTGAATATATACTATACTTAGAAGCCTATATGACACTGCTTTGAAAATGTGTAGATTAGAGATGGCGGTATATATATATATATATATATATATATATATATATATATATATATATATATATATATATATATATATATATATATATATATATATATATATATATATATATATATATATATATATATATATATATATATCAGTTATACCCTGCACCAACCATTTTGGTAAAATATAAGATTTATATTTTTTTATTTCACATGCAACAGTAAATCTTCTTTCTTGCTTTGTCACACTAAACAATGATATTTGCTTATTTACATGCGAAATTTTTTACATCATCAACGTAAATTGGGTGGGTGTTGGCGGTTAATATTCTTTTATAAGAATTCATGACTTAAAATGTAGTGTTGATACGTTTTTCTTTTAATTTGCTAGAAAAAAAAAATCCAAGTGGACGTAAACCAAAATAAAAAATATGTATTATATACTAATAATTGTTTTTGTTAAATACAAAATACCTATGGTTACTTTTTCTAACAATTTAGGCAATGAATTTGATTTACCTCTAAACAATGCTAAGGAATGCAGGTTAGCAAAAGATATTGTCCATATCTTTTGTGTTAAAAGAAAAAAGATTACATGACTTATATATAAGATATAAGTCTTTGCCTATGTTTTATTTCACTTTTACTCTTTACTATTTAAATATTATGATTTTACTATTTTATATGTTTTTTTTTTTTGTTTGCAACCGTGTAACAAATGGGTTCATTTTCAGTTAGGTTGTTTTCATTTGAATTTGGTCGATTTGGGTTTCTCCGTCTTGATCTTGAGATTTGGTTTTGAAGTACATATTGATTTGTTTACCACTACCATTTAAGGGTTTGAATGATTATCAACATAGGAGGATGGCTCTAGAGTTTTTCAAAGTCATCGTGATAGAAGGGATTTAACCTAATTTGATGAACAAGAGAGTTTGGCTCTAAGCTTATCAATAACTCTATAATACATTTTGGAAATCCCTTTAAAAATGTTGTTATGTTGTAAAGCGATACATGAGGTAAAATTATTATCAACTTTTTGTTAAAACTTTTGATGCTCATAAAGGATTTTATTATATCATTGATAATTTATTTGTAGGCTTGACACTAAATAAAGATTGGCAAGGGAATCCAACATGTATTCTAGAGTTAAACATTTATGGCTTCTTCAAATTTTAAAACAACACCAAAATAGCAAAAAAAAACTTTCTAGCCATACCAAAAAGAACAATTATTTTTGTCAATTAGTTATATCTTATTTGTAACCGGTTAATTTTGATCAACAATATATGTCTAATTACATCTTCTTATTTTAACATACGAGAAACATTAGTTTGATAAAAATAAATTATAACTTAATGAAGTTATTTTATATATATATATATATATATATATATATATATATATATATATATATATATATATATATATATATATGGGAAAAGGGAATATACATTACAGCCCCACCTAAACTTAGGTACTAAACCTCTTGAAAATACATTGTTTTACTATATAAAGATTACGGTTAATGGATTCACGATTAATACTTCAAGATGTAAATTCAAAATCGACACAATAGGGTTTAGGGTTTACAGTTTAGGGTTTAGGGTTTAGGGTTTAGGTTTATGTTTAGGGTTTAGGGTTTAGGGTTTTGGGTTTAGGGTTAGCGTTTAGGATTTAGGGTTTAGGGTTTAGTGATTAGATATAGGGTTTAGGGTTTATCTTTGGTGTTTAGGGGTTAAATTTAGGGTTTATGTTTAGGTTTAGGGTTTAGTAATGTTCACTTGGATGAAGTAATAAACGATAATTGAGGAAAGAAAACGGAGATGATAAAATGATAATGAAAGAAAGAAATGTTGTGGAGAATGATATATGTACCAAGTGAAACCAAACCGGGTATATTTAGCATGTTAAAACGATATATTTTAGAGGTTTTGTACCTAAGCTTAGGTGGGGCTGTAATGTATATTCCTTAACCCCTATATATATATATATATATATATATATATATATATATATATATATATATATATATATATATATATATATATATATATATATATATATGGTATTTGTTACAATTTTTTTTGAAAAAAAAATCAATTTAACAACATAGTTTTATTTGGAAAAAAAAAGTTTAAAAAATTTATTTTTATGATTGATTGCCAATGTTTATTAGTTATTATAATTTGATATTTCATTCTAAAAAAATAATCACTTTATCATTAATTTCGACATAAGGAATGTTGGTCATATCTTCAGAATATTTGGCATAAATAATTTGAATAAACATTTATACAATTAAAGATAAAATATTTACAGCATGAATTAAATTTTTTAGTTTGTATATTTGCAAAATACATGATAAAAATTAAGAAATAAAATACAATTGTTTAGTAAAAATATATATTAATTTTAAATAATCAATATAAAAGTCTAAAAAAAAAACTTAAATATTATTAATTTATCTTATTAATTTAACACAATTTAAAACATGCAGTTTTCACGTATTATAACCTAAGGAGACTAATAAAAGATTAAAAGTTGAAACCAAAATGTTACAAAATCCACCCATTGTCTTCTTTAGATGAGATAGTATTTATTGAAACACTTTGTTAGATATAGTTTTAGAAAAAAAAAAAAAAATGAAAAAAATATACACTATTCATCAACTTTTAAATAATATACGTTGTGATTCATTAAAATACAATCCGATGATAAAATAAAAAATAAATGAATGAAACTTGAGCCTAAATCAACATGTTAAAAGAGGCCATCTGGAATTTGGGGACATTTCTCGAAACAGATCCACAGTCCGC